GCGCGACGCACATGCAAAGGAACCCCTGGTCGCAGTTGCGTGATGGGTTTGTGAAAGAGAGCATCATATTATTATGTTATGCACCTGCATGTGGAGAGTCATTTCACACTTATTCCAATATGGCTCTTGCGCACTCTATGCGGACACCACTGGGCTCGCTTTCTTTTTCTCCATTCCTTCTATCTGCTTTCGTGCTACATTGTTTGGCATTCCAATGATACAACCCCACCTCTTTTTTCCAGGCGTCCTTTTGTTTTTTGACGCGCACTCGGATGGTTTATTATTTTTCATGATTTCCAGTTGGTTTATTTGCTATTATGCCTGCAAACCTGCATATTTGACCGCGCTCAATCCAGTGATGACAACGTGTCTTTTGATATATCCAAGACTTCGAGCCGGGATGCCACGTCCATCAACATCTTCATAGTGGTGTCCAACAGCTGCGATTCCACATTCAATGCGCCCTCCACAGTCTGAATCTGAGCCGTGCCATATCGCCTTGCGGGCGGAGGCGGCGCAATGCTCGCCCTCTTCCTTGGATCAAACCCTGTCGAACCAACATCGCCACGACTGCTGCTCATGGCTCCATACAGTGACCCTTGAAGTTCCAGCATCCTCCGCTTCAAGATCTCATACTGTGCCAGAACCTTGTGCTTCCGTTCATCAAGGGACTTGACACCCCTCTCGGCCTTGGCCACTTCCTGAACCCATCCTTTCTCTGCTGGACTCAGCTCTGGCTCCTGAGATTCCATCAACTTGTGCAACAATTCGTCAGCCCGTGCCATCAGCTTCTTTTGACGAACCACCTGTTGGTCCTGACGGGTCACTTGTTGCTGAATTTTGTCAAACACCGTGTTATTGATGTGCTCATGCGTCTTTTGAACCTTGTCCTGTTGACGTTCATATTCGGCCTCCTGAGCAACCACCCTATATTATTTTGTATAGCAACAATAAAGGACAAAAAATGGCCATCAATCTCAATTGCACAATCTTCAATAAGACACAAGATACAGAGCTCAGGCACAAAACATATAGAATGTCCAGTAGATCGTACCTCTGATGTGCGATATCGCATGCGGTGTAAATCTCTCGCAACGACTCACGAATGCCTTGGACCATCTTGCCCAAAAACTGTAGGTTCTCTTCCGTGACAACGATCTTGGCTGCGCCCACGCCTGGCGGGAGCACAACCTTTGGCTGCAGCGGTAATCCATTCATGGCCATGAGTCCGCCCTGGTTCTCAAACATGGGGAGCGTCAACGTATTTTGATATTGACTCTCTTGATTTTGAGTATTTGAGTCATTTTGCAATGGAGCTGATGTCGTTGCTGCGGTTGTAACCGTCTTGGGTCGAGGCGTAAGTTCCAATCCGATCAATTGTAATGACGATGTTAACAGCAAAAGGGAGTATTCCAGATAGGCGTCAGCAACCACCTCAAATCCGATGATCGGCGCCGGGGGGCTATCATTTTGAAAGACAGAGTTCCGGGTTAGACCATCCTGCTCATAAAATCCTCCGCCATTTCATAAAGTGCATGATCTCCTTGCTCTTTCATACCTTGTTTTCAATGGGCGAGTGTTGACGACGCATCCGACGTTGGACTTGACCTTTGCCTCGTAAAATTTGCTGACCCTCGCGTCCAATCCTACGACTACCCCTCTGCTTGCAGCGTCGTATATACCTGTCAGCTCATCAAGCCACGGCCGGATTGATACACAATGGGCGCCAGTCTCGTGGTAAATATAAAAGGTGTCGCCATACATCGCATCCGGTACCAGGACAGGGCGATTCGGAATCCCCAGCCGCTTATCAACAAGTCCATAACCAGGGCCAGAACTGCTACTAACCCCAAAGACTTTGAGGATTCCCAGATCAATGGACTCGTACACAGAAACAATTGGGGGCTCATCCTCATCCGGTTCCATTCCACTGTCTGCATATGTACCATCGACTCTCAACCTTCGCTCCAACTCCCAACGTGCAGAAGGACGGTCGACTGCAATGCATACATCGACCTTGCCACAAGAGTATGCCATCACCAATACATCTGCAGCCTCTGTTTCCAAGCAAAGAATGTCGTATGCCTTGTTATCATCGTCATCCAGCTCAATAGGTACAGGCTGGAAAAGAAATGGCCCTTGTCGTGCCACTTTGCCATGTTTCAGCTCTGGGTTCTGTACCAAAACGACTTCATCCGAGAATGGGTGCGGTTGCGCATTCTCCAGCAGGCTTTCTAGCCATTCTTTTTTCAATGCCTTCAACTCCTTCGGTTCCTCCTGCTCTGTCTCTTCAGTTTCCATCTTTGAGCGAATCTCGTCCAACACTGACACGTCCAACAAACTAGTAGTATATTAGTATATTAGAGTTCCGAGAATAACAAGTTTAGCCCGCATTCATTAAAGCTTGAATACACATGTGTACTTAACGTAACAGTTTAAAAAACATACCAAGTTCCAGGCATCACTGGGCACATCATATAAACATCGCCCGTTTGTGTGAGGCCGTAGACGGTCAACTGGCCCCAAGTTGAGTGCTTTGAACCGAAACAAAATGCTGCCGCTTTGTCGAAATCCAATCCATATGAACCCGATGTATGTACTCTGCTTCCGATGTTGAAAACCTGCTCCGGCTCATCGATATCCGTCGCTACATCGTACATCCTACCAAATTAGATTAGCCAAAGAGAGGAAAATGCAGTGCGGGGTGAGCTATTGAAAATGTAATGGAGACTGGGTGGATGTTTCCATTGTGTGATCCTTGAGGAAACAGAAGAGCAAAAACTATTCGTCATACCTGAGTAGGCAATCTTGAGTCATGACAAGGACGTGGGTCGATCCTTTGCTGAGAGGATGCCAAAGGACTTTGACAATTTTTGATGGACCCTTGTTGATGTGATAGAACTCTCCCAGTACAAACGATTTGCAGAGAACTGCCTTGGGATCCTGCTTGATGGTCTTTGGCAACGCTGCAATCACAATCTTCTCGTCGCCTACAATTGCCATCAGCTTCCCATCCTGATTGATGACAAGTCTCCGGATGTCGAAATCGATATGTTGGATTTTCAGGACCTACGCAATATGGCATCGTAAAGTGAGGTAAAAATAAAAAAGTTATAAAAAAGTTATACCAGGATATGACGCGAATAATAACCCGCGCGTGAACGAGCAGGTAAATGTTTGAATAAACGGCGAGTCATTTCTTTACCTTGTGTTGCTTGTCTTCCAGATACTCTGCTGCTGCTGCGCGACCATGATTCTCAACGCCCTTCTTCAGGTCGGCAAGACTTGAGTATCGAACCTGTCTGCCCACAGCCACATACAAATCTTGAGCATGCACTACCATGCAGGACAGACCCTGATATGCCTGTTGGTACTCCTCCTTGAGTTCGTCCAGACCAAATGTCTCCTTTTGAGCGGCAGCACCTGCAGTGGCGCCAAATCCTGACGAGTTAAACTTTGACGAGCCAATTCCTGATGAGCTGAATGAGGCTGGTCCTTTAGAATTCGACAACTGACTGGTCGAAAGTGTGCTCTGATTGAGGGACTTTTCGTTGCTGTTACTGTTGTTCAGTCGGGTCCATTCCAAGTACTCTTGCTCGTCCAGCTCAAAGATACTATGGTCTGGTAGCTGATTGAGCCATGTCGGCCTATGTGGCAATGAATGTGAATCCATTGTGTCTTGAATCAATCCTGCCTTTTTGTCCGCTTCGTTGATTCCTATCCTGTGTGCTCCTGAGAAAAAGAATAGCACCAAAGAGGTCGGGAACGATGGAAGGGAAGTGAAGAGAGCGATGGCAAACACAAAGTATTCAATTGCTTTTTTTCGCGAAAAGCTACGTCATCCGTCACGCCTTTTATTATTTTACACCACATACAACGGCGTACAATAGCATACAACACAACCTATTTGTGAAAGCGATTTACAGCTCAGTCTTGGCGCCCAGCATCTGATCAAGCTTGCCATTCTGTCGCGCAGCGACCAGGTCCGAGTTGCCTGAGGAAACGGACAAAAAGCAAGGATGAAGAGACAACACGGGTGAGTAAACGTTCTAAAGATCAATTGACGACCGACAATGGCTTCTTTGAACATAAAACGCATGATGATATCCCCCTGCCACGCTTCATTGTATTTACCTCCAAGGTGTTTAGTGTTGATAAAGATGTTTGGAACGGTCTATTCGTTAGGACATATAAACGACAATAACTCGGTCAACACGCTTATAGTTTGGTTCCTCGATCCACAATTGCTCACACATGAATAAAAACAACATCGTCCCTAATCACTTACACGTTGTCCAGTCTTTTGATGCAAGTACTCTTGGACTTCAGGTCCATTGTTCTCTTGATCAATCTCAAACACCTTGAATTGGAGACCCTTGTCCGATAATACCTGCTTCGCATTACGGCAGAAGCTGTGAAAAAAGGGACGCCGAAATCGGTGTTGGTTAGACTCTCAAGCTTGACCATATTTAATGACCATGACTCTGTAGACGATTTCCTTTTTTATGATAGTAGATCAACGACCCAAACTCCATATTTTGCCACCCCCTGTTCCGCGCTCCCATCATTCACATTCATTTCGTTACATTCTCATCTCTCATTCAGGTTCTCACAAGCTGAGTTGATCTGTGTTGGACCATGAGGGCCGACAAACTTACGGACAGTAGCTCTTGCCGAAGAACATGATCTTGTTTTCACCTAAGGCATAAGTTTTTTTGCAAGCATTTTTAAGTAATAGGGTGCGAAGTATATGGGTCAAGTCTCGAGGATATGGGAATCGCAAAGTTCTTCAATTCACGAGTTTTGAAAACGAACAAAAGAAGTCATTGCTTACGGATTAGTCTCTCGACCAGGGCTTTGATTGCTTCGTTCATATTTGAATATGCAAGAGTGATGGAGAAAAACGAAAACTGAGGGAATGAGGGAATGAAAGAATGGAGTGAAAATGAAACCAGCAAACCTTCAGGAACGCGCCCGAGGAAAAGTGCAAAAAAAAAAAAAGCAGAATTCCGGATTTGAACCGGAGGCCTGCCGATCTGCAGTCGGCTGCTCTGCCGCTGAGCTAATCCTGCTACAATCTTTGCTTTTGGATATCGACAATAATATAGAGGAGGGGGGAATTGCAAACAACCAACCGAC